TACTACTACTACTACTACTACTACCACTACTACTACTACTACTACTACTACTACTACTACTACTACTACTACTACTACTACCACTACTACTACTACTACTACTACTACTACTACTATCAGCCCAGTTCCCAATATTACAACATCGCTCCAGTGGAGTACCCATATATTCACTCCAATGCATGCCGTCTCCCATACCATCCCTTTGATAAATCTTCACATTCCCAGAGCCCGGCACCTTCTCACTATAATCGTCGGCGTATAATCGTCCGATGTTATTTGCCTCTATACGGGGGTCCACTCGACATGACGAAACCGGGCCTATTGAAGAGCAATGCTGGGGGAATAGATGTTCGCTCCCCTCAGCTGAGCTCGGGAGTTTCCTCACTATTAATACGAATTCGGGTACAAGTGTACAGAAACCAATGAGAATTTCCCGAAAATTCGCTGGAAATTTTCATATTGTCACCAACACATGTAGCTAAACATGTGCATATCTTCTCACATTGTTAAAGGGACCAATACGGGCCACCAAAATACCGTTAAAGAGATGTGCAGGGATCGAACCCGGGACCTCAGAACATTCTACTGCAACCAAAATACTTCCCCTACTACTACCAAGTGACCTGTTGAAGTCGCATATGTAGACTCGAGGGGTGGCGGTGTTCGTCCTGTACAGGGCTTGCTTGACCTTCTTATCATCACCCTTATCGAGAATATTCCAATAATGAGCCCCGACGTGATTCGACGCCCTCCCAAATTGCAACGTTATCGTCTGTGATGACCGGTCTTCCCCTTCAGTGGGCATGCTGTTGAGAACACTACAAAACAATACTCACTTAGATAGTACCCTTTGTAGAGTAATCATCGGAACAACTCAAAAAGTAACCAGACCGAGAGTAAATAGTCAAAGTCAACGTGTGGAAAGTCAACTGGTTGGCTTGAGTTTCTAGGGCTTCAAACCAAAATAAACTTATGTGTCCTCGCCATTTCTCACTGTGAAGATTCGTATATATACTCGCTCGCCCACGAGTGAAACCGTTGCAGTGTAGGAGGACATGGCAAGTAATAATGAACTAAGAGTATACTTTACAGCATCCACACTCTTTTATGTTTGTGTTCTCATTCATCATGGCCGATGATCAGCACAGATCTACCTAGCGTCTACGTGAACGAAACTAATCAAGAACTTTACTCCCGACCTGGATACGAACATCAACGTCTCCAGTATAGAATGATGGAAACATGCCACTTCAAACTGGGAAAGGTTTACGGAAAGAGAAAGGTTCGCCAAAGGAAAAGGTAGGAACACAACGACAGGGATCAAAGAGGAAAAAAGTCGCATAGTTTGCGAAGATACTTATACAAATTTGAAACTCCTTTCCGCTGAAGTTGATAGAGTAGACATCGAATCGGGCGTCTAATAAAGGTTAACTCGTTAACCTAAGTTGAACACCGGTACGGATGGTCGCGTCGCTTCGCTAGCAATTGGTACTGCAGTAATGAAACCGTGAGGCGAGTGGATCCCCCTGTGCCTGCTGGACAGCCTAGAATAGCCGAGGGCAGAGGGGGCTTATACATTTTTTTTTCGCTTGTCGTGAAGCTCATGAATTACGTTGCTCTGGGTCAGCATACTTTGGGCCTGGTCGTTTTTATGCATCCTACAGTGAACCTCGCGTCGTTCGGGCTCTTTCAAAGAGGACTCTTTTTCTCGACATTATCGGCACGAAGCCATTTCCAATGGATACGAGGGACTGCTGTAAATAACAATTGATCCATTCACTTATATAGTTGAATACTAATATCAACAAGAAAATAATGATCACCAGTACTGCCGGTTGATGCCCTGTCTGCGCTACAGGAGTAGTCATTGGATACTCTCTTGTGAGTCACAAGTTGTGACAAGAGTCTTGTCCACACTTACGGAGCATGCGGCACCAAGAAGAACCGTCGTCGGGACTCCCGACGACCGTTTAGAGAGGGTTA